AAACATTACAACCTAAACTTCTTCGACCTAACCATATCACGTGCGCGTCAAATGATAAGAATCAGAATTTTTCAGTTTTGATCGTCTCCGTTACCGCTAGGGTAAGGAGAACGACACATTGAGAAAAAAAAATTTTTTAAAATCATATTTAGTCCATAGTGCCATAAACCAGAGTCCCGTGTAATTATTCACCTCTAATGAATATTGGTTGCTCGTTCCTCAAAAAATTGAGTGGGATTATCATTAATGATTAGTAAAATGTTAATGATTAGGATCAAGATGATGATGACGGTGATGGAGATTTGGATCACAATCAAGATGGCGATGATAATTAATGACTAGATTGATTAAGATGATGATTGCTCTAATTACATTTTTTTAAATTAAAATTTTAGGTAGACGTAACGAAAACAGAATTATTTGCATCGTATAATAGAGGGTGCATACGAAACTGTGAGATTGCTGGCAGAAAATGCTGTAACATGGATCTCTGCAATCATTCAAACACCATCAATCATTGGTTTTCCATAGTTTTGCCGCTTATTTCAATCCTTTTATGTTCTTTTCTACAGTTTTTTAATGGTTCATAGTCACTTGAATTGATTTTTTTATATTTTTATTAGCCTTCTCGAAATCATTGCGTATTATTTTATTTTAAACTTTAAATGAATATCGCGCACACACACACACACACACACACACACATACACATATACGTGTATACATTTTTATTAATATTTATTGGTAATCATATGCTAATACTATTCTTAAAATAATCAAGACACAAATAATTGAGCAATACTTTTTCAATTGAAGCTTATGCGTGAGCTTGGTATTATTCATTCATTCATTCAAAATAAATTGCTCTATGACTACATCCTGTTATATGATATTAGCGGCCTTTTATTTTCATATATGCAACATCCTTCTAATCTGAATTTATTATAACCATTGTATGTGTTATTCTAATTTATGTGTTTGATAATGTCATAAGCAACATGCACTTTTATAAATCATTTATGTGTTAAGGTAAATTTGACTGCGTGTGTGTGTGTGTGTTTGCATCTGTGTGCTGTGCATCTGTGCTGGCATCATTGGTGAAATGAGATTTTTTCTGCCATTTTAAAACTGGTGTCAAATTTTATGATAATCTTTTTATATATGAAAATTTTATGAAGTATATGTATATTTCGTGTAGATGTTTATCATAAATTGCTGCTATGATAACTAGTTACGTACGTTAATTTCTTTTGTGTATAAGCTTTCATTAAACAGACTTAATTCATAATTACATAAATTTCATCTCATGACAAAAAATAACTGTAACAGCC